GCTACCGCTACCGCTACATTGCCTTAAATGTAGAGCCGCTACCGCTACCGCTACTGAAAATGTAGCGGCCGCTAGTAGCGGCCGCTACATGTAGCGCGCTACTGCCCGCCTCTGCCCATCTCTGTAACATCGACAAAACCTTAGAAACATCATTTCTGCTACATGGAAAACACCTCAATTGTGACCCTACTTGTGGCCCCATCGGCTAGCTTTAACGTGTGTAATGCACCATTTACACCCATTGACATGAATAAATTTTGGCAATAATAACCACTGAACCTATATTGTGACGAAACGTTGATCAAATAATCTCTCCGCTGTCGTGTTGCAAAATTGCAGCAATGCTATAATTTTTATATTCGTTATAAGGAGTCTGAAATCCACCACTGCAAGTGGCAGGAGTACCTTAGTGCCACCTAACTGGGAAAAGCGTGATTTAAAAGTACTCCATTTTTGATTATGAAAAAATCAATCCATGTCACCAAAGACTGACCACTATCGAAGGCTCGGCTGGTGCCTTTCATAACCTCGAGGGTGAGGGCGGCCACAACGTCGCACTGCCGCACGATGTTCTCCGCCTTACTGAGCGCCAGCGTGCCGATGGCGGTGATGAACTGAGTGCCGTTGATGAGCGCCAGGCCTTCCTTGGCCCCAAGCACGATGGGCTTCAGATTGTGGGACTCCATCACCTGATGAAGATAATCCACGTATCCACATGTGCTGTGAGCGACAATTAAGTTTGCTTGTTCTGAACAAAAGGAGGCGAAGTGGTCTATTGATAAAATAATGGACTTATTTCGTTTGAGCTGCAGCGAGGATAACGTTGTAATGATTTGCCATTTGGAGGTCTATATTTATGTATCTATTGCAACGAAGCAACGAATCACAATTTTATTTTATAAATAATGCTGATAAACTGTTATTCCACTTAGATGGCAATGGGAAGTAATGGATCAAATTCCATCCAGTAGAAAAGATCATTTTAGCTCATAGCATCCCACAATAGGTTATTGTTCTTACATATTTGGCATCGCCCCAGCCAGTGCTGGGGCTCCACATGCGCCCCTCCCCCAACATCCCCAGCGCCAGGTGGCTGAGCGGGGCGAGGTCTCCTGAGGCTCCCACGGTGCCCTTCTCCGGCACCCACGGCAGACACGAAGCTGAAGATGCCCCACAAACGTCATGTCAATATGCTAATCCAGCCCCACAAACGTCATGTCAATATGCTAATCCAGCCCCACAAACGTCATGTCAATATGCTAATCCAGCCCCACAAACGCCATGTCAGTATGCTAATCCAGCCCCACAAACGCCATGTCAATATGCTAATCCAGCCCCACAGACGTCACGTCAATATGTATATCCAGACGTCGTACACATTAACCATAAATTTTATCAATTCTATACCTATTGATAGAATATAAAATAACTATATTCTAGTAATTCTACATATTCTAGTAATTCTACATATTCTAGTAATTCTACATATTCTATAATTCTACATATTCTAGTAATTCTACATATTCTAGTAATTCTACACATTCTAGTAATTCTAGCTCCTTCATTACTAGGCTGTCCCCTAGGCTGAAGCCGTCCAAAATTTCATATATCTCGCAGAGCGTTAATTCAACATATGAGCTGAATTGGTCCAGATTTTCCATAACAGGTTTTTGCTTTGGAAAGTGAGAATATTACGACTGTCACTAAATTATTATCAGAATTTGGGTTATAAGGAAAAAATTCCAAGCAGAAAGGTTGGGATCTTTGACCTGGGATCATCGACACAAGTGCAATGAAAAATTATAATTTACTCCTTTAGGTAATATATATCGACGATAATTTGCGATAAACGATAAGATTTGAACGATATCAAACATATCAATTCAGCACGTTGTTTCAACAGGTATGTTTTTGTGCACAAAATAAAATTTATAAATTAGCACATTTGGTCGATGACTCGAAGCATAAGTGATATTATGAGCGATTGAAATTAGTCAATCAAAGAAAACAACGATGGATGAAGATGAAGGAATATAGACAGAGGAAATTTTTCACTGGTGTCGAGGCTTCATGTGAAAAGCTAGCCGATTCTAAAATTACCATTTGAACCTTTTAAATGCTGATTCCAAGCAAAGGAATGCTAGCTCCAACAATCGAATGCTTGCGCCGAGCATTACAATGCTACCTTTGAACATTAAAACGCTTGCTCTGTGAAATAAAATGCCTCTCCGAGCATTAAAACATAAGCTCCAAGGTTTTAACGTTAGCTGCGAGTACTAAAAAATGCCAACACCAGCAATAAAACGTTAACTGCAAGCATCGAATGCCAGCTTTAAGAATCAGAATGCTAGCTCCGTGTATCGGAGCGCTAGCCAAGAAGTTGGAATCATTGGAACGCTAGTCTGAACGTAAAAACTCCTGCTCAGTTGAAGCAAAGAACCGTTGAAGGCGTTGATGAGGCAGCGCAGAGCAGGCAGAGAAATGCCGGAGCAGCCCTTGGCGAGCACGTTGATGCGGAGGGCAAGCAACATCCGCGTCTTCTCCGGCGACAGCGGTGCGCCGACGCCTGCAGCGTGCGACCGGATCAAGTTCAGCTGCAACTTCCTGCAATGAAACATCATACATTGTAGCGAGTTTCTTGCACTATTTTGTAGAACAAAGATATTAAACTATTATATACATTAGTTGAAAAAAATTCGATATTTCAGATTTTTATTATTCATTCAAATTAAAACAACCTTCACAGACATTGTTCTTTCAGTTATTTTTTAAGTCTGACTTATTTTCTAAGCATGCGTCGAATGTAAGAATAACGTGCAGAGTCGTGGCTCACCCCAAATTCTCCTGAGAAATAACTTTTCTGGCGAACTTGCCGAAGCCTGTTGTGATGCCATACACAACTGCAGGCATGAGAACGATCATCAATATCAATATGGCTCACGATATCAATGTGGCTGCATTCCAGGATTGATATTAATCTCTTACAAACATTATACCAGTTAAGCAATGATCTCATAAATACCAGCTATGCTACAACTATGACAACTATTTCACGTTTTTTTTGTTAATTTCAAGTGAAATGTATTTTTTTCAAGCACCGCAGATGATACGCTGACTAACTAAAACGTGCGTAGCTCAAAGTTTTTGCTTTGGTCCTGAATAGTGTAAAATGAAGGCCTCGAGGCACGAAACAGGAGAAAGAAGTCCTGAAGTTCGCACGAGAGGCGTGCATCGCAAGCCAATTATTACACAAGGTTAGTTCGGTTCTTGAGTTGGTCAAGGATTTGGGTACACATGTTTATTCGAACATGCGCAGGAAGCTATAATTGCGTTTATTGTAGGTTAGGATTATTAAAATAATTGTCCCTTAACCTTTCTGCTCAGCGACGATGCGCTCGACCAGCGCCCGGGACTCCAGCACGCGGTTCTCCGCCTCGGAACTCAGCTGCGGCCACGAGAACATGTCTTTCAGTGAAGTTCAGCAACAGCGGCGGAGCAACGAATTTGTTGCTGTATCATCACTGCTATACAATGTTACGCGGAAATATTCTTTTACGTTGCGCTGTAGGGTATGAACATACTGCAGCCAATAATTTCAAAATTATACGATATTGGGTAAAAAATTCAACAATCTCCTATAATCGAATTCGAATCAAACTCGTCTTCTTGAATCGAAAAGTTTGATGACTCGCGGAAACCAGCAAGCTGTCAATTATATTTTTTATGAGTTCCACGTTATACACTTAATCAGTTTTTAATACAAATCAAATGTTCTGTAAACGCAGTTTATTTAAGAAATTAATGAGTATAAACACCAACCCTGATCTTGAGGCCGCCGGCGCCGAGGGTGACCAGGTCGTCGGGGTTGAGGGAGTTGCCATCCAGTGTGAGGTACTCTGAAGGCGCCACGTACTTGCTGGGACTGAGGCGATTATTGCTAAGGAAACTTTAGAGTATCGACATGCGAGTGCATTTAAAATGTAGACAATATCTTGGAACCAAGAACCAGTTTGTTTTGTTCAAAATCGTCAGTTTGGAATATATCCTGCCGAAGGACCTGTTTTTGGATCTCCAGTGAACAAGTCTCGAGAAGTACAAGAATATGGGACAGGTCACATCAGGCCTACTCTTCAGCGCTGACATCACTATGTTATGTTATGTTAAAACTCTGTCGCAACATTTGCAGCCCGAAATATTCAACTGACCTTACATTTTTTTCGTTTTGAAGCTCGCAACTAACTCAGGGACATTCACTCATGTTAACCATGCATTTTTCTCATCTCAAATTCTATTTAAACTTGCACACTTATTTTGTTTATTTTGATTTTCCTCGCCCATTATTCACTAAACACATCTTTGAATTGTACTTCTCAGTTTGTGCTCATTGCGTACGCTTTTTTCATGTTAATTGTACGTTACATATATGAAAATTTAATCATATATGTTGGTGTATTATGTTTATATGTGCATTATAGGTTCTAATATATTAGAACCTAATGCATTATATTCCATAATTAACCCCTTACTCTTCCTGTCTTGAAATGCTTGGCGATTAATCCCTATAAACGAAATTTCTTAAGCAGGATAAATCGCGACTCGGTGGGTATCGTCGATACACGCCCAGAGAACCCCAATATACGAGTATTTACGGCGCCAGGCTTGAAACACACACAGAAATTTATAATAAAATAAGACAATGGATAACCAACTCGAAGTGTGTCAAGGCAGCAACTACTCCATCACGTTAGACTTAATCAGTTCGACAATATCGCTTCCATTTTATACACTGGACTTACTTGGACACGAGTTATGCATGTTAAGCGAAGCAAATTGGAAAAGGAAAGGTGTGATGTTTCACTGTTCTCTCATCTCTAGAGTTAAATTCCACCTAAGGTTTGTTTTTTTTTTATCTATAGAGTGATTAATTCCCTACAAACATGTCGCAACCAGCGAATATTGCAACCAATATCTCGTGCAAATTTGGCCGCGAGTCTTGTTTTTTGAAGGTGTATTCATTTCCTAGTCAAGAAGAGAACAACCGCAAGTTTAGGGTTCATGATACCTCAGAAAGACACCGACACCGACTGCAAATTATGAGAAAAACGCGATATTTCTTCTCAATGCTGTTAAACTGTTGGGGAAAATATGGGCACAAAGGATACATTTGTTCAGGAATGAAGGACATCCCAGGCATGACCATCACAGGATGAGGCCGATCATTCTCCAGAACTGTATAAACAAAATCTTATTCAAATTTGCCGCGGGAATTTGATGAGAAAATATAATATTTCTTACGATAACATTATGAATGAATGTGACAGCTGTATGAATATATAGAGATTTAGATTTATTGTATCTTGTAATTATTTGGAAACAATTGATTAATTTCCGATCCAATATCTATTGAATTATCAACCCATGTATAGGTATACAATCGTTATTCAATCAAAATCTAGTTTGTTGCAGGCAAGTGTTTTATTGTGATTCACCATCAACCCAATGTAATATCTGTATAGGTAAAATTGTGATTAGCACGCCAGGTAACAGATAACGTGAAGAATGCATTCTTCACGTAATCTGTTCAATCAAGCTTCGATGGAATTTTTGAGCTTCGCCCGTATGAACATGAGAGTGACGTGATCAATTGTATAATAAATTTTCCGTTTGAATTCACCTCAAATCGGAATGAAGTTAGAATCAAATAAGGACGCAAAGGATACAGTCTTAAAATATTTAGATTACTGGTACCAAGGGCAAACTGAACTGCATAGATTATGTGTTCATGATACTAAACTGAAAGTTTTAAAAGTATATTTAGAAATGGAATTTTGGTAGCTGCTCGAAGAAAGTATCCAACTTCCGTAATAAATCTATTCATTGATTTACACCCTAAGCGGCACGAAATTTGGTTTTTCTTCAGAAAGTTTTCATGAACTCCATCTACAGCTAAATTCATGCATGGATAGTCATTGTTTAAATTCATTTATGAATAACCTTCCAAGAATTACTCACCAACACTAACGAAGTCTTCATCATCGAGAACATCTTTGATGAGGTCACTAGGCGCCAGCAGGGCTCCCCCTCTCGTCTTCCTGACGGCGGCGACGACAGCGCTCGACTCCGAGACTTGCTCGGCTGCCTGGGCTTTGTGGTTGCTGTCATGAGTGCCTCGTGGGACGCTCCTATTGAGGGTCTTGTGATAGCGACCAACGGCTTCACGGCCGAGCCAGGCGATGTCGTGTTCACCATCGCCGCACGGCACTGCCAGCCACTCGCCTCGCACCCTCACCGACACCTTCATGGTGATGGCCTTAGGCACAACCAAGCAATTTTTTTTTCCAATTCCAAGCAATTCAATCTTTAGGTAAGGGCTTAGAGAGGGTATATGTATGTATATGTCAGAACCTCTGTCATTCATTAAATTATTAAAATCGTTTCCTTTTAGATGATATCTGTTTGAGGCTGACTTCAAATTTACCATTAGAAACTACAACAACACACGAGTCACTCAACTAAAATTGTGTTTAGTCTGACCATTGTGCTAATTACAACTTGAATTCGCAAAAAGAGCCTAAAATTTCAGTTAGTTTTTTCTTGTCGCTGCGAGTAAAATAGAATATCGTGGCACATAGCCAATTACTCGACAATCCCTTCGTTTAACTCAAATACTGCCCATAGGAAAAAAAACTTCCTTCTTTCAAATAGGATTTTGGACAGCGCAGTGACGGGATTGAAAACTTCCTCTACTGATACAAATTTAACAGCGCAGTGATAGGAAGTAAAAAACTTCCTCATCTGGAAGATGGATTTGAATAACCCAGTTACAGTTCCTATTGTATTTTCCAACAGTCATGATGAATAGCAGAAATTCGATAGAGATTTATGTAATTACGGCAGCAAAAGCGCAATTTAATCATCAGTGTTGCCCTTGAACCTGGCCATATAGCTAGACGAGTATCACGAGAAGAAACCTTGCCCTCTCAGGATTAGGGAAAGAAACGCATACGTAAAGGTTGAAATGGATTTACCTCCAACATCTGACTTGAAGCTCAACTCTAAAACTCAGCCACGTCTTGAAATGATAAAAGGAAGAAAGTTATGTTCCAACCTGCGCACATCAAACTAGGTCATGTGAAGCATGACCAGTTATGACCAGCTCATGGCTACTGCGTCACGTATAGCATCTCGCGATCTCCAGAATTGCCGAAAAAATCCAGGGCGGTGTGAGCAGCTCTTCAAAGTATCAGTTCATCAGGACTGTGACAAACATTTAGAAGAATGGTTGTTCAAAGACTTGGACATAAACTTTCTTTGAATAGCACATGTTAGTTATTGCGCAGGAATTATTCATTACTATTGACTGCGAAGCACGTGAAAGCAGCATGCCAATTTTTTCATAGCCATATGGCAAGAATATTCATGAGAATTCAGGTGAAGCTACAGGCAGTCGAAGTGAGAGAAGTTACCGATATAGAGGGGTGCGCTCTATCGATTATTACTAAAGTACTTACTTCGATTATAGGATTAATAGGGTAATAAGGTTAATAGGGTAATAGAGTTAATAGGGTAATAGGGTTAATACTGTTAATATAGTAATAGGATTAGTAGGGTTAATAGGTAATAGGGTTAATAGGGTAATAGGGTTAATAGGGGAAAATTATTAATAGGGTAATAGGGTTAATAAGATTACGAAAGAACGTTCTTAACGGTAATAGGGGTTCTCATGGTATTCGGGTGTGTACACAATATTTGGAAGCAAGAATGTACGTTCTCATGGTAGTTGGGATGTTCATTCTATTTGGAAGTACTATTTCAATGTAGGAAAGTACATGCAAATTTTTGTCGGAAATGCAATTTTCTGTTAGGTGCATGCATTTCATTTTCTTCCCACAACGAGAATCACAAACTCAAAACCTGCACCAGACGGAGTTCAACAGCTGGGACTTACCTGCACTTGGCGGCCTTTCAACAGCTGGGACGTAGCACTCTTTGGTGAAGTTTCAACAGCTGGGACGGACCAACACTGGGTGAAGTTTCAACAGCTGGGACGTATCACACCTGGCGGCGTTTCAACAGCTGGGACGTACCAACACTTGGTGAAGTTTCAACAGCTGGGACGTACCAACACTTGGTGAAGTTTCAACAGCTGGGACGTACCAACACTTGGTGAAGTTTCAACAGCTGGGACGTACCAACACTTGGTGAAGTTTCAACAGCTGGGACGTACCAACACTTGGTGAGGTTTCAACAGCTGAGTTTCACCTGCGCCAGGAGACGCTACTACAACCATATCGCGCGCCGACCCCACGTGAGATAACGGAGGTGTGGCGGGAGGTGTGGCATAAATACGCGCCAGGAGGACCCGGAAAACCAGTTCCCTTATCTCCTCTCTTACACAAGGGGCGGCGGAATCGTGTAGCCGTCACTGGTTGTTTGCGAGCTCGGGCTTAGAATTGCTTTAAAAAATCGGTTTTCTTCTGCAACACGAACAGCCGAGGAGTTATTTAGTGCCGCTGTGATGATATCAGATACTGACCAGTACCTGCATATTTATCCATGGGTGAAATTATAGTGAAATTGTAGTTAATTCTCTAGGTCGCCTTTCCTAGAGCACAGAAGGTATTTGACTTGAACGATTAATTCTTTAAACACTGTTGCAATTTATGATTTTAGAAAGAAAACGATTTGGATCTTAAATACAGACCCTTTCAGAAATTACAATATTTTCACATAAAATTCCATGTCTTGTGGGCAGCGCTTCAGCAAAATTTTAATTCGGAAATGAAGCAGGTAAAACGCACACAATTTCTTCGTATTTTAATAATTGTAATGATATAATCAAATTCTAGTTCAGTGAGCGCATTTGTGTTTACCTAACGAATTCTAATTGCATCAGGGAAGAGTCAAATGTCCAAGAGACGATAAAGCCTCGGAACTGGATTCCCTTGGAGACGAGGCTTGTTCCATTCTACTCATTTAAATTCTGGATAAAGCCATGTTCGAACAAGAACGCAATTCTTACAACCGTGGATTTGCATCCACAAAGTTATTGAACTGCTTACACGGCATGTAAAAGATAACTAAATTTAGGTTTGTTAGATACCGCCAACAAGCGCAGCAATGAAGTGTCCCCGTATTGCCGGAATTCACTCACAACTCGCTCTAGAACAAGGAAATTTCGATGCCGTACGTACATTAATTGTATAAATTCAAGTAAAAAATGTTTTGGGTATTCAAAGTCGACTTTTATTTGAGCTTTCGCGTCGTATACTTAATCAACGGCTGACTTGTGCCAGGCGACGCCATGCATTTGAACTATCACAAAAAATAAGCAGCAACGGTCTGAAAATTATTATAATGAATTCGATTTACTCCTTCAACGTTCCAATTTCTATTGACTCAATGGAATGTTAAATAAAATAATAAAAATTACTGATCGCATCTAATGTCAAGGACAAGTCCAACATCAGCATTTCAGAATTATTATTCTTCTATAAAGCGATTGTCAAGGCGTCTGGTTTAACCAAAATTCGGGTTTGTTAGTTAAAAAATAGAAAGGCACGAGAAAGGATAAGAACGGATAAAACGGGAGCGCAGCCGTGCACCACCAATTTTGTGCACCAATAAGCCCTGAGTCGAACGCCTTGGATCTCTCCTGACCTACACCAATCAGCCGTGCACCACTCGGCTTTGTCCTCTTCCGGGCTCGACCACCACCAGCCGTGCACCACCAGGCCGCGGATCGAATCTGACTTCCGGGGGGGCGACCCGATAAAACGACTATGCGCAACATTCAGAGGCTCTACGAAAAAGTTCCGTCTTAAGACGTTGACGAAACAGAATCCAAAATGCCACCAACCATCGTTTGAGTTATTAAATCGTTTGAATTCCTGTCGATCGTTAATAAAAAGTGTTCCCATTAGTGTACCACTGATGGGGTACGTCACGGCCATAGCTGATTAGGATGGGAAAATGTGCCAGCGTGAAGGCTCGAGCCTCCTGACCCACTCAATAGCCGCATGGGTCTAGGGCCAGCTCCGTCCCGCAGCTCAACCGCATGACCTTCAACCTGATCAGAGCTGTGCCACGGCAAGGCAACCTTAGGCTTGGTTCACGCCATACTGCCACGTGCCAGGCCACGCAACGTGCCAACTGGTATATGCGCACACCAGATTTTGCAAATCTGGTACGTTTCGATGGTGACTGGCATGGATATTCATGTTCTGGTATATTCCGTAAAAGATGCTATGTTCAGCTGGCAGTCTAACTGTTCACTCGACATAAAAAGTTGGCAATGCTGCATTGACGTCCCGGTCAAAATATATTGCCTTGATCATGGCTAGACCGTCCTTGGCAGGGCAGGTGCTTCAAACGGCTGGTGTAAATGCTTCTATAGAAAATCAGTAAAGAATAATTGTTTGGACAGTTACTGGCACGAGCCCGGCAGTATGGTGTGAATCAAGCCTAAATTTCGCGAGCTTGAGCTTGGCCACAAGTGAATCAAATATTTCAAAATTTTCAGAAAATAACTCAGGGGGGGGGGGTTGAATTAATCACTTCATGGCCTCAGAAGCAAAAAGTTAAGATACCAACTGGTTACCAGCGCACCCAGCTATTAAAGCATATTCGTTTCTTCAACCTTCTTCAAGCATAGCAATACGGCATTTTTGTTATACATTTTGGCGAAATTAGAAGTTTGCGGATGCCACGTGAGGAACAACGAGCCTCCCCTCTTGTTGTTTGGGGCCAGTGAAGAGGCCCAGTGGAAATGCAACTCCATTGATGCCGTATAAAAGGTATCTCTTTTAATCAATAATTTTTCTAGTGTCGGCATAATTCGGAAAATTTGCTAGTGATGTCGTGGCGTGAATTTATAATTAAAAATTTCAACTAATTTCTTGTCGTGAGCTTAAAACTAAAAAAAAAATTCAATTTTGTCTCCCAAATGCGGTAAGAAACGATATCATCAGTTTTTATTCCACTCTGCAACAGGGTTGGCAATGATTAAATCAAAATGATTAAATCATGTGATTAAATCACTTGATTTTTTTATAAAAAAATCATGATTTTTTTTTGCTATCAGCTACCTATCTGTTATGTGACTCTTCAATGTTTAGGAGATCTGCATTCCTGAAGTGTTTTTGTATATTGAAGCCAGTTAAATGGTCAATATTTAGCTCATTACCTTGCTCCATACAAACTTTACAAAGCTAATGAATAGACTTATCAATATTTGTTTACCCAAAAATCCCTATGTGGTGAACACCACCTTGGCCTGTTGACCATTATTGGAGGCAATAAGTGCCCTTTTAGCCATCCATTATGATCCATATACTGTTATTGTTAGTAGGCTAATTGCAACATAAAAAATAACACCTCAAAAAAGACAAAAAAGCTGAAAAAATCAAAAAAAATCAAATAAATCAAAAAAATCATGAAAAAATCAAAAAAATCACTGATTTTTGATTTTTTTAAAAAAATCAAAAAAATCGCCAACCCTGCTCTGCAATCTGACGGAGGTTGCCGTCAGGAAGTATACAGAAGAAACAAGTGAATAAACACCTATCAAACTTGCTCTCATGGTATCGTTTCGTTATTAATCAGTTCGAATAATAAGGTATAAAAAGACTTCAGTACACCAATTCTGTATTTAACGCAGCACTTTTAGAGACAGGATTGTATGTCGGTGTTAACGTTATAAGCGGAGAACGGGTGTTGACCGATCTCGGACACACTAGATTTTTCAACTTACGTGCTACGGTAATGATTCAGTTCTAGATGACGAGCATTACACAGAACAAAATCATGGTAGGTGCGCAAGTTAAGCGTAGTTGAGCGTGACGTCTTGACGAGCAAGCTCCAACAACATAGGGTCGTCGAAGAACTTGTTGATAGAGACATCTTCACTGAGTCCCTTCCTGCGCCTCGTTTTGATCATGAACTCTCGAGCCAAATGAGTTGCCATCTGAGCCTCAAGAGGTCTGATGACTATACTCTTGTCCAAAGGATCGCCAGGGACGATCTGCCAATGATGAAATACGCTCAGGCAGAAAGCCTGGCCCTGGGTGTGCATGCGCAAGTCAGTTTCAAATCCAAACGAGTCGATGGCGGGGATGAAGGCCTTGACGGTGTAGAGAGGCGAGCCAGCAACGGGAGCGTCTTGCGTGACGTGGCCACGTCTCTTGGTCAATACGGTGTACACTGAAGAGACGCAGTCAGCTGGGGCTTGAATTTCCACGAACAAGTAAGGCTCCATGAGACGAGGTGTGGCCATCAGGAAGGCGGAGTACGCAACTCTACGGGAGGTTGGAATGACTTGGCCTCCTCCTCTGTGTAGAGGCTCGCTGGCCATGACGGCATCAAGAATTTTGAACTTACAATTTCTGATGGGTTCTTCACACAGCGGCCCTTCACGAGTAGCCCACTGAAAACCTTGAACAATTGATTCGCGCACTGATCCGAGAAGAGCTTTGTCCACCTCGGACGGCAGCGTATCGTCCACAAGAATGTTTGGACCGCAATGGTCAGGACCGAATGCCCAAATAGATCGCGCAGCAAGAAGATCCCAGTCGTAGCGAGTCTGGAAAAACTCTCCTAATTTTCTGTTGTCCCACGAAATGTGGACCACTTCACCTTCAATGTCTTCAGCCAATCCTCTTTCAAGAGGTTCGGCAATCATGGTGATTTTATTTCGCTTGTTGGGAGTTTCTGCAAAGCATTTTAATGATGAGGTATCCACGACTGTTTCACAGAAGCTAACTACAGGATCAGCAACTTTGATGTCGATTTCCGAGTAAATTTTTCTCAAGTCGTGCATGACACAGTCGAGGTACAGCTCACCAGTACCCAGGATGACATGTTCACCAGACTCCTCAACCTTGTTGTTCAGAAGTGGATAAGATTTGTTAACTTTACGAAGCCCGTCCAGCATCTTGGGCAGTTCAGATGGGTTGACAGGTTCCACGGCAATTTTTATCACAGAGTGAGTGTTGAACTTCAAAGGTCGGAAAATGTGCAGTTCCGTGATAGGCGGATCGGCCTGAGTGATGGTGGCAGTTTTGACAATGGGTTCATCAATGCCCTCAATGAGGACCCAGTTGCCAGCAGGCACATACTTCACTTCGATGTTGTAACGCGCCTCGTGTATCCAAAGCCTGCCTACAGTGAGCACGCGCGAGTCTTCCTCGTCCGTGAGAGTGTACTTCTCCCCTAGCACGCGCACTTTCTGGTTGGACTCAATAGTGCCAGACAGAACGCGTCCAAACACATTGAAGGCCGTGGCGTCTTCATTAGGGTACTGCTTTGTTGTGTGCACCACAAGAGGGCCGTCTGGGTCACAGCGCATCATTTCTTCCGTCAGGTAGTTGTCCATGGGGCCTGTATACGTGGTTTGAATTTTGTTAACACTGTTATCTTTTGGAGACGGAATATGGGTGACGCACATATCAGTGAAGCCTTCAAAGTCTCCAATGAACTTTGACATGAAGTTCTTGATCAGCGGCCGGATGTTCATGTTCTGTTCTTCTTTGGTCATGTGTAATCCCAGTTCATCCATGAGCTCAGGCAAATGCAAATCCACATCAGCAACAATATGCGAAAAGATTTTGTACAGCGGTTCGAGGATGAACTCGATGAAGCTTCTCTGCGTGCTGGAGGTTGGAGGTTTCTTGGCAAACTTCCTGGTTCTCGGGTTGAAGTAGACGTCGCCCCACAGACGCTTAGCGAAGTCCTCGAGCCGAACGTCAAAGCCGTAATGGCGGCAGTAAAGTTTGGCCATGCTTTTGAGCGTGAAGCAAATGGAGTATTGGGAACTCGCGAAACAGACGTTGCCCAGCAAGGGAGAAACCATGTTCTTGTTCTCAGTGTCGCCATTCTGAACAATGAGAGAGTTGACCTCCTCGATGATGTGCCGTAGCTTGTAGAAGGCATCGAGAGGAGGCAGCTTGAGCTCCAGCACAAGCCTGTCTATTTTATTTATGCAGAGGGCGATGCTGAGCCGCTCCTGCAGCGCATGCTTTATGAGGCGCTGGGTGTTGAGCATCACTCCTTCTGCAGCGTCAACGAAGATCACGACTCCGTCGCACAGTCGCATGGCCGCGGTCACCTAACAACAAAAAAATTGACTCAGCGCAATGCAACAAAATTATCATCTCTATAGGCAGCCAAAAGGGCGAACATTTACAGTTAATGAGTTGACGAAACTTTCATTGATCAGCGAATCATCTTTAAAAGACAAAATCGAATTTCCGCTAATAAAATTTAAACAGATTTACAATTGAATTTCGAACTCTTAAGAGAACCACATTACTCTGAAACTGTTCTGAGTAAAAATCAAAATATTGTAAATAAACTCAATCTGTTAATACAAAGTAAAACAGGGTAACGTTGCAGCGAATTGCGCAAATTCAAGATGTCTGCAGACGAAGTTTAGAGACACTATTAAGCGCTACTATCCTATCTCCTCAAGTAAATCAAGACCTTGCTCTTGGTACACTCACGTGAGTAGAATAATTCTATGATTTAAACAAATCCTTTTAAAACGGATTTCGGAAGAGTTATTGTCTAGACTTCTTACGAATATATTAGACTTTTTTGTATCAACTTCCAGTCTGGGGGAAAAATACACGAAAAAACGATCTTGGTCACTTGAAAAACAGTCTTTGTGAACAGGACAGAGCAACGGAGCATTCGGAAAAAGTGTATTGTGGTCTAGTGTGTTGTGGTCTAGAGTGTTGCGGTCTACAGTATTGTGGTGTTACGGTCTACGGTATTGTGGTGTTGCGGTCTACGGTATTGTGGTCTAGAGTGATGCGGTCTACGGTATTGTGGTCTAGAGTGCTGCGGTCTACGGTAATGTGGTCTAGAGTGCTGCGGTCTACGGTATTGTGGTCTAGAGTGCTGCGGTCAAGAGTGTTGCGGTCAAGAGTGTTGTGGTCTAGAGTGTTGTGGTCTAGAGTGTTGTGGTCTAGCGTGTTGTGGTCTAGAGTGTTGTGGTCAAGAGTGTTGTGGTCTAGAGTGTTGTGGTCTAGAGTGTTGTGGTCTAGAGTGTTGTGGTCTAGAGTGTTGTGGTCTAGAGTGTT